TATTTATTTATTTATTTATTTATTTACTTATTTACTTATTTATTTATACTTATATATAATTGTTTATCTAATAAATTTGTTTAAATTAAATGCATCCTTTACTTTCTTGTTATGCCTAATAAGTTTTACTCATAATTTTTTTTAGACCATTACTGTTGTTATTTAAAGGCATGAGGGAAAAGTATTACTACGTTATATTTACGTTATATTCTTCAAATTCATGAAAAGAATATTCAGCCTTGCTATCAATATCACAAAATTTTTCAGACATTTCGACTGCATGTATAAAATTTCAAAGCATGAAGGAATACATGGACTATATCTGTATGATATTAAGAATTTATTTCATTTTAAGCAGTCTATATTCAACTGAAGCATGCGTCCTGTTACAAGCTTGTTTTGAAAATCATGGTTTTTGCAGTCACTTCACGGCAGCTTGAACGTGTCTAAGCACAACGTTTTTTGAGTTCAGTTTCATTGCTTCATTGTTTTTAAAAGTTGCGCATTACAGTTTCGATTTTGGCTATCAGTTCAATATATCTTCTTATATCCTGGAGATTATTATGGTTTTTTGATACGGAGAAATCATGCGTAAACAGAGGTGGAAAGAAAAACATAAGCTTTGTTCAGGCGTTTTTGTTAGTCAGGTAAAAAGATAATTCACTAGTATCAAATTTGTAGTCATAACTCGCGTGTTATATGTGTGATTTTTGTCTTTACAAAAAGCAGTTGATTTGTAGCTTTTCAAATTGATAACAACCTTGATCTTTTATCCACTTGACACCGTACGTAAGAGTTTTGTGATGCAGTCTGGTCGTGGTGATGTACTTTATTGAAAAGTATGGCATTGTGCTATTGTATGCTCTCTATCGAAATTTAAAAATGATTTCAGTTACAGCTATCAATTTTGGTGTGAGAAATTTTATATTTAGCAATTTTCCCACAACTTCAAAAGCTCAGTCTTGTTTTATCCTACCATGTAGCACTAAATTCTAGACAACAGTGATGACGCAAATTCCTTCATCATATGAGCTATTGTTTAAAAATATATTTCTTTTCTGTGTAAATGTTTTTATTTTTGATTGTTCCGTTTAATTTTTTTTTCAGAAAATATGGCATGAGGAAGATTTGAAAGTATATTTTAATGGTTTATGGATAAATACGATACGTAGCTTAAGTGCTGCGCTATTCTCGCTTTCTACAATGAGTTTTCGAAGTATGTTTAGAACTTTGAACAGAGATATGGGGTAAAGGAATAAAATATTTTAAAATGCCACTTAAATAGCATAGGAACTCGGTGTTTCTAGTATACTTTTTGGTAAGTCTTAATCAAATTAATCTCAAAAATCACCCCTATTATGCTCTAAAGTCTCAAAAATTCTCTTACGTTTAGGCTCTTTAAGTATTCCTGTACCATTTTTGATTATGTACAATAAATAATATGAACCAGGATATACTAATGGTTCATATTATCTTATATTTTTCTCAAATACTTATTGCAAACTGTAGTGAATCAGCTATAAAAGGTAAGTTTTCTTTGCTTGAAATATATATCAGAGTTACTGAAATAATATATGACTTCTGCAGTGATGAGAATGTCATGAAAAATATATCCTGGTAAAGAGTTATGAGGTAGGTTGAGGGTTCTGAAATAATTTTATTAATAATATTCATCACATAGGGATTCTTTCATACTTCTTCTGCTCTAGATTTCTTATCTTTCTTATGGCGCATGCGACTGTGATGACCCTTTTCCAAATTGTCATCGCATTCCGACTCATTTTCATTGGTGTGAAAAGATATCTGACTACCAAGTATTGAAGAGCTAACCGATGATAAGCTCATTTCGAACAACTCAGTAGTACTAAACGATTCGTCACTGCTGTTTGTCTCGTCGCTACTTTTTTTTTTACTTCGATTCGTATTAACATGTTCTTCCTTAAACAAGCAGTAGAATTCACAAATTTTGCAGAGTAAAAAACGCAGTGTACTGAAATCAAAGTGATTGCATTTCATATCGGGCAAGTATGTCAATCTGCTACTTGCTCCCTTCCCTTATCTGATATATATGTATATGTAGATAGGCATCGCCTCTTGTACAAATGTGAGCGATCACATACCATAAGCTGCATTTTTGCTAAATAAGCATTTCGACGTTTACGCAGTTGGAAAATTTCTACATCAATGGCAGCAATTTTAGCCTTCAAGTCCATAATTTGCTCTTGAAAAAGACTTCTTGATGACATTATGAGTGTCTTACCACTACTGCCGACTGCACTATATTTTTAGATTCTGCGATACTGTCAAAATTGCGAGCTAAAATACTGAAATCACTTATTTGGTTTGTGTAGGAAAGAATAAATTATTCTTAGTTTAAGGAGTTTTCAATTTACGTACTATCTCAAGACTAATGGTGATCACCAGATCTTCAAGACATGAGCACCAATATTCTTGCCAAACTTGCTACAAATCGCAGGAAGCCACCACTTTTTTGTATTATTTCTAGATCAAAGAAACTAGTGAAGGCATAACTGCCTTATATATCTTATCATGTGGTATTCCGTCTAATGCAGATGTGGGGTCCGAAATATTTGAATGTTTTAGAAGCAGGAAATAACGGACCATGTCACTAGCACATGTGATTATTACTCTTCAATCTTTGCTTTTACTTACCTTACATCAAAATAGAATCTGTATGCACGAGGCTTTGTAATTGATTAGACTATAGGCACGTACTAATACTTCCAGTACTAGATAGCGATATTTGTATAGACGTGAGAAGAATCTGTTTTATTCTTAATGATCATACTGTACTGCGTTAGGATTGCTTGCACACTTCCTATGTTTCTTTTCTGTTCACACACACGAGACAACTCCAAAATTGCTACATTAATTGGAAGACTCTATTTTTTACTGCCATTGCAAACAATGCGAAGGTTAATTACTCGGTGTAGGAAAGTAATGTAAAGTTAACACGGAGTTTTGGCCCTATTCATCTTCATGTCACTTCTGTCAATTTCATTCGTAGTGGTATCAAACATAGAGTATATGCTAATTCCTGCACTTTCAATAATGCTCTGTAATTTTAGTTATTAAGTGCAGTCAGTAGACACTTTTATGTAGAAGGATCGGCTGTAAGGGAGTTGCGAATAATATGGGTAATAATCAAGGTGGTCTTCACAAGCGAGATCGTACAGATGGTCAGCAGCGTATACGGAATTGGACAGCTGCTGGTGGCAGTGGTGGTTCTGGCAATGGTGCCTCGGTTCAAGTAATTAATTCTGGCACAGCAGAAGATGGTTGTCCAGTTCAAGTATGCTATTCTAGGAAATTTTATTTTTCTTATTAAAAATATCGTTATATTTTACAAGAATTTGAAATATTGTTTCTTGTAGCTTTGCTTCCGACCGCAGTTAGACTTTGCAATTTACTGCCTGTTATGCTAATGTAGTCATTGGCTGTCACAACTTTTCCTCCTGTCAAGTTAATGTATTTATGTTGAAAATATAATCATATCTTTTGGATTTTATCTCCATTGCTTCCAAAATTTTGTAACATAGATCAAAACAGTGTAATTGAGGTGAAAATCGCAAAGAGTGAGGGATCTGGTTCAACACCAAGTATCCAATTTTCTGAAGCAAATGAATATCCAGTGGTTTTCAAATGGCAAGGAGGAAGCCAAGCTGGTGGGGTTTACATAGCGGGATCTTGGGATGGGTGGAAAAAGAAAATACCATTATGCAGATCAACTCAGGATTTCTCGACCATCATTAACTTGAATCCTGGTCCATTTTAAATTGAGAATGAACAAGAAAAAAGCTTAGTTTTTTAGTTTTTGAACATATTAACACAGGTATCGAACTGTCATGGATTTGATTAAAAATTATGATTAAACCGTGAATGAAATTAACAGCCAAGTTGTGAGCAAAATATATTGTGTTTATAAAAACTAAAAATTATAGGAATGCACGAGTATAAATTTTACATTGATGGCAAATGGGTGATTGACGAAAATGCTACTAAGACTGAAAACAAGTTTGGTAGTCAGAACAATGTTATTGCAATTGATGAAGCTGACTTTGAAGTATGTTTCACCATGTAATGAAATTCTTTTGTGAGAAGCAGATGTTTGTTTTATTCTAAAAGAAATGATTTGATTTCTTAAAAAAGATTGCTCCGTTTTAAGTGCTATAATTTAGTAGCTTTTTCGGGAGGAATGAGACTAATTCTGAAAAATATTTGTGTCGCCCACGAACAGTTAATAAGAATTCTACATATTGAGCTGGTTTGATGGCTTTTACTTAAGGTATTTGACGCTCTTAGTCGTGATTTAGCGTCGTCAAATGCAGGAGAAGTTATGAGAAAGGTGAATGCAACAGGAACACTGCCTTCTTCGCATGACACACCAAATGAACGTGAAATTGAGAAGCTAAAAAATTTCACTCAGGACATTCCAGACCGTCGAGAATTCGAAAAAGCATTAAATCCACCAGTTTTACCCCCTCATCTTTTGCAGGCTAGTGAATGACACTCTTGTTTTTAATATGTGCTAAATCATATGACATTCTTGTTTATATGTACTTCTTATTTTCTAGTATTGATCTTTTTGAACTTAGCTTACTTACCATCAGTGATCAATTGGGAGTACGCTTTTCTATCTTCTCAACTAAAAGCATCATCTTAATTCATCATCTTTAAAGGCTTATGTTTTTGATTTATTATAGGTGATTCTTAATAAAGATACACCGATGCAATGCGATCCAAATGTGCTGCCGGAACCAAATCATGTAATGCTGAATCATTTGTATGCGCTATCAATTAAGGATGGTGTCATGGTTTTATCAGCTACTCATCGTTATCGTAAGAAATACGTAACAACGCTACTTTATAAACCAATTTAATTGTTACAATTTTGTTCCGTCATCGCTATATAATTTATCTCCTTCTTACTCATTTCTTATGAAACTTTTGCCTTGATAAGAGAACTCTGAAGTAGGTTTTAGTTTGCTCTTCTTAAAAGTTCAGTACAAATACTTTATGTATTTATTGGTCTTACTGCAAATTATTTGATGACTATGACAGGTGTATGTGTGCGGAAAAGTTTGATTGTCTTAGAAATTTGCATTCGTTCCACTGGTTGCTTAAATTTATTTGCAAAAAAAATAATAATAATAGATAAATTGTGTAGTTGTATGTTTATATGTTGTAATTTATATTGTGCAGTTGACTTTCATACTTTGTTCATTTTGGAGCACAAATGTTGTGAAATAACTGAGCAGTAATATTCATGAAAATAAAAATTTCCTATTGTTGCTTAAACTATAAAGATTGATTTTCAGCTTTTACTAATGTATTCGTGATAAATGGTAATCTACACATATGTAACTTACTCCTAGTTTCCTTGTTTTGATTTATTGAGTTTTGCAGTTTTCGTAATCTTATCTTTTTTGTGTAATTAACAGACCACTTGTATTGTATATGATGCAATTAAAGAATAGTTTTTGAGTAAAGTCGTTTCGCACAGTGAAAAAGCTTATATTTGGATTTAGTACTGGCCTTTTTATGCTTCACTTACGTTATTGCGATCCAGTTTTTAAATTTATCATACATCAGCTGAGAAAATCGAGCCGTGAAGAACAAATATGTTTCTCTGCTCCATTAGGACAGTTTTTCGCTTTTCGATGAGTTGAGTTTTTGTGAAGTGCAGATGAATTTCAGTCGTTAAGAAGGTGACATTGTTTTATTTTTGGCAATGGAGCCAAAATGGACATTTGATCGTACTTGGTACGGTGCAGATTTATCAAATGGATGGACTGCAATAGTTTCGGAATGTGGATATATTTGTACAATACAGGTTGGTGTTAAGATTTTCCTTTGGTCGTGTAGGAGAAACTTATTTGCTTATTTCTTCTAATTAGAGTATGTCAAATAATCTTGTCATTTGCGAATACAAATTTAAATTTTACAGATGTCTTTGCTTCTTTTAATCTTTCTTTCAGAGATGCGATGCTGCAAGTTTTAGTACAACCAGAAAAAGTCTGTATTCAATTAATTTTTATTGCAATAATTTATCACTTTTATAGTGTAGGAAGAAAAAGTCGCGCGATGAATGGGTTTTAAGTGTTAGTCCCGAGAGTCACTGCTCTTATTCGTTGTTTGTTGATGTCGCACTTTCAGTTGGTGCATTTCATTTTAAGGTTTCGTGAGTATTTTTTTTTTCAAATAACTTTCTTTTTACTTGGAAATGTTGCTTTCTTTTTTAAAGCTTTAATAAAGGAGTTCGAATAAGTCAAACTTATTTCTATCATATTTTCCTCTAAAAAAGTTTTTAAAAATATTTTTTTCATCACTTTTCAGCTTTCCTTTGTAAATAATATTAATTTCAGTTCTTTGGTATTTGATGAATTATTAATTGCATTTTATTTATTTTGTAATCTGAGCATAACTTTCCAGGTACATTGCGATTTATGGCATTCATCGAGTGTTGTATTGCAAGAAGAAATACAAAGCGGATTCAGAGTTGATGTGACATTTAAATTGCGCATCATCGAAACGCTATCGGCACAAGATCTGAGTGGAAAAACTCCTTATAGAGATTTTGAAATTAAGGTAATTTTCTTTCGCTTTATTTTTCAGAATCTGAACGTATTCCAGTTGTTGACGAAAGTTTTAATTTATTATTCGGTTTTATAGTACGGCAAATACTTCATGTAATTCTTAATCAGAGATCAATTATTTTGAATTTCATCTTAATGTTTCTATATAATACGCGTGAAATCCATTTTCAATGAGTGTTATCATTGGCTGGTAATTGTATTATAGTGTAAAGGACGTTCTTGGTTCGTGGATGCCACATACTTGGCATCGATAGGAGGAAAATTATTCACTGAGTGGAATGAATTACGCTTGAAAGGTGCCAAAGAACATATTGTAGATGGTATTTCAACTTATGAATTAGACTGTCTTATAGATGCTACCGTAAAATATCGTCAAATCATCGTAACAAGGTTATCTAGTCAATTTTATTCTCTATTTTTTACTCCTTTGAAGTAATTTAAGACGTGTCTGAATCAATTTTTTCTATTTATTCCGTTATTTGTAGAAAATGAAAAAAAGTTTTGCTTTATTGCTTTCTGTATATTTCAATCACATTTAATGTCTATTCAAATTTTGTAGGATAAATTACGATGTGTTAGCTGGTGTTTCGTTTCGGTATAACATTGGCTCTGTATTGCGGGCTGTGGAGTCTTTTTTGATGGATGCTGAATGGATTCATCCAATTCGACGATTAGAATATGCAGTTTGTTATAAGTACGTTAATTATTTTCAAGTTTTTATATTTTCTCGTTTTAAACTGTAGTGACCACATCAAATTTCAAGATTATCAGTTGCTGAAATTAATGATTACTAATGATTACTATTGTTATTTTTAAAATTGATTTTAAAACTGATTGGGGGAGATAAATTACAGAAATTTCACGAAAACATAAAACAAACAAATAATAACGGAAATGGATGAGTTTGTAAGAAATCTTTTTATGATTTCGTAAGTTTTTTAAATGATATATAACTTTTGCTATTTTATCTGGATCTCTATAATATTTTCAGATTAGCAAGATTGGGGGATTTTATTAGGCGAAAACTAATATCGTCAAATACTGTGTTTGAAAGCTTACATGAATATCTTGCAGAAAATGGCGAAACTTTGGATCAGGTTTGGCTCTGTTCTTGATTTATTAAAAATTTCAGAATTAATCTTCATTGCTTTAACAAAGAAATTACACTGCTTTTAACAGAGAAATTTGAGGCATGATAAAATTGAAGGTAAAAAAGCGCATTTCATCAAAAAGTCAGTATTTGTAGTATGCATTCATGATTTTTTAATTGGAAATATATCGAAATAGTTTTTTAAGTATGTGTACCATTGCAGATGCATCCAGATGTATTGGTCTCACTAAACATACATCCAGATCACATTCTTCATTAATTGCTATAGCATTTTTTATCAACTAATTCCTGAAATTTTTATCATTGCAGAGATGTTTTATTTTGATTTTTATTGTTTTCAAGTTGTAAAAATCTTTTTCATTGACTTAATTTTCATAAATTTCGCATTTGATATTTTGAGAAAGATATGTTGTGATGATCTTTTTCTCATACACTGGTACCTATTTGAGATTGGCCCGTTTTTTCGTAAGTCCAATTCTTTATAGTTGAAATGACGGAGTTGCAGTTTCTTGTGTACATTTGATTGCACAATACCTAGCTAGTTATCAAATTATCATTGTTCTTATCAATAAAACTGTACGAAGTATTTTGAAATAAAATTATGTCATGTTTCACCCGATCGAGTGATTTCGTGTTGATAATAGCGTTGCCAAAGAACTTCTCTCAAGAGACTGCGCATGAAAACAGCACGTTATTTGTCAGGGTATCCGTCGCTGTAGTCATAAGCGAAAAATCTGTTCAATGGCATCAAGTAACACCATGTTCTACGACTCATGCGTAAAGCATCATCTCCGACAAATTTACATGTACAAAATATGGCAAGATCACTACGACTTATCCAAGAAAGAAGGTCACTTTTGATAACGGAATGTAGGGTGAGATCCTGACCCTACCCCTAGTGTCAATAACAACAGGTAGGAACGCCTCATTAGAACCTCCCAACACTCTGGCATTCCTCAGGAGGAGATTACACGATAATCGACTTAATCTCTGTTTTGAAATGCCTTTTTCAGACTAATGAAAAGTCTTTATTTGTTATAACTTTTTGAAAGTGTATTCAATAATGAGTGGTTTGAAAATTTTCATATTGCAGTGAGTAATTCATAGAAGCTGACTGTCTCATCGTTTGTTCTGTTGTGTAGTTGGTCGTATAGTGAGAGTAAATTGAATGGCATAATTATGGTCACTTGGATTAATAATAGAGTGCTCAAGTTTTTTCAGTAGATTAGAAATTTCTCAAGTTAAAAATATGGAACTATTCACATAGATCATGGAACTGTTTCCATAAGGCATGGAACTGTTCAGTTTACATAATTATTGCTTGGAAAATTACCATCCATACACAATATTTTATTATTATTATTATTGTTATTATTGAAAGTAAGCTATATTTGTTTTACTTGAAACAGTCCTAGTGTCAAAACTTTTGCAAGATTAACTAAGCAAAGAGAGGAAAATGTTTTATTTTGGTAGCATACTGTTAGCTGCGCGGTGGTTTCAATGCATATCATTTCACCATGTTGTTTTATCATTATTATTATATTTATGGGCAAATATACAACTGCTTTAAGATGGTATGCTTTACATGTATAATTCAAATAAGTTTATCATTCATCTTCCACTTGTGTTACCATTTGAAGTGAAAATTTTCTTGAAATCAGACTTGCTGATTTTGATTTAATTTTTATTTTAAGTATTCATTTATTTCATTTCAAATACGCTGCTAAGACTTGTCATTGCTCAATACTTTTTATTCATAATTCTTCTTGACAGCAGTTAATTTTTTATTTCGAATCTTTTTTTGTTGCTGCTTATCATAATTTCAGTATCGTTGGCAGCAATGGTAGTACAAATATCTATGAATGCACAGATCTGCATGAAACCATTGCTTGTTTTCAAAGATTCAATGGAAGCGAAGTAATTTATGGTTGTATGGCAGCATCTCATCACAAATGTTCTGCAAATTACAGTTTACAAGCATTCAAAAGTATGCTATTTTCAGAATTGGTTTTAGTTATACTTCTGACAAATAATTATTCTTCCTATCAACTATTTAAAATCAAGCAAAAAATTGATCTCTTTTTGTTTGTTTCATTAATTCTACATTCATATTTCAATAGCATTTACATAAAGCTTGTTATAAAAATAAATACAGATACTGGGTATCATTGTTGTTTAACAAATTTGTGCAATGGGTATTCCCCAAATGGAGAGCATACAATAATTCGCAAAATTAAGCGTGAACGTGAAGTTGAAACTTATTCATTTGGCACGATAAAAGTGGGGCTTTCATTCAAAATTATTTAAAAAATTAAATAACCATAGTATTCGAAGCACTTTTTTATTTGTAATTTTGCCTATTTTTCTGCCTCAGAAACATCCAATCAATAATGACTCAGATATAAAATTTCGAAAATCTCAGAAAAACCACGTTGAAAAGTGACACTTTTCTGAACAATTTTTCATTTCTCGTTTGCTAAATGTTTCAGTCATGCTTTCATAGTTCTCATTAGTTTAGCAAAAGTTAAGGACTCACAAAAAAACTGATACATTGAACTGAAATTCAAATAGCGTATAGATAACGAAGAGTCAAAGTAAGCAGAATTACTTGAGACTTGCAAGTAACGTATATAACTCATTTTAGGTTACTGATGAACAACAAAGACAATATAAATCACGACTTATAAGAAACTATGTACTTCTCATTCTCAGCTTTGTTAACTTTGTCGTTATTTTATTAATAACAGTATTATTTTTACGCGGCACTTGCTACGTGCCACCACCAATTTAATATTACGGATGATGTACTGTAAATATTAGAAACCATTGTAGATTTCACATTTTTCACTGTACTCATATCACTGATGTTAACACTGCGTGTTTTATTTATATTATTTATATTTTAGTATTATTCATATTTTATAATGCACTTATCACTATTATTTATTATTAAATTCATTTTCAAGCATTATCATTTTTTGCTTCTGTCAGAATTTCAGTTTTATCTTTTGCATGCTAGCATAATCGAAAATTTTTAAATTATTTGCAAATTTAATGCCAAATGAACTTTGAACTTCATTCATATCATAAGCTCTATTAATGTATAGATTATGGAAATAACTTCACAACTATCACCTGCAGTCTTCTTCAGATAAAGCTAATATTAATATTTATATACTTCTATTCTTGACAGTAATTGCCGTTTCATTATTTTTATTCTTATGGTAATTATGATTTATGCATCGTTCTGCATTCCAAAGCTAATATCCTTACTGTCTATGCTATTACACATTTGACTTTATTAACAGATATTACAAAAGTGAAGTAATTTGCTTCACGTTTTCTTCACTGTGTGTGTATAGTACTGATTATAAAATTGAGCTCATTTGTACACCATTAAAGTGTAGAGATTTTATATAGCTGATTTATGAATCTTTTAGCTTAAACTATTTCTTTATTCAAATTTCAATAAATGAGCTAATTCTAAATTTACGACTACATTTCATAGCAATTGAACTTCACTTTATTGACACCATTTATGAAGTTAAAGGAGAAAATGCTGAATCCTTCAATCAAAGCTAGCATTTTCTCAGTTACTAAGCAGTCTGCAGTGGGATAACATGCGCCTTCGAAATTTGCAGATGACTGATACATTGTCTAGGAAACAGTTTCAATGGTACACGCATTTGCATAGTTATTCTTTTCAGCAGCAAATATTTTTTCTGAAAACTTTTACGCTAAATGCCAAGAATTATTTTTCTGTTGCAAATTTTCCTTATTAATAAAAGTGTGAAAAAGATTTTTGAATTTAAAAACACTTTTTGACCTGCTTGAACTTGCTTAGAAATTAGCTCGTACTTCTTATTTACAAAATTAATAGAGCAAATTGCATGAAGTAAATCTTAAGTTAATTGAGGAATATATATTTTGTCATGCAAAAATTATTGAAAACTTATTTATGTGCTTAAAATCGCAGCAGTAATGAAACTGAAATTCACTGCTTTTTATCACCATCATCTCGTTATGGTGTACATATTATCCGTAGCGATGTTCCCGATTTTCGACCACTGGAGACTCACTTTTATTATTATCACTTCATTGTTTATGATTTTATACTAGATACTGTAACAGAGTATACTTCAACGTGTGGCCCGTTGAAAGTATGTAATTTTTGGATGAAGACTGATGTTCTGGTTGTTGAAAGTACTGATGTAGAAGTGACTCGAAAATGTACTCACTCAATTTAAGTCCATTAGATTCACTTTTTTACAGCTTTTCAATTCGAATCAAAAAAGAAATGCGCTTTGTCCTTTCTTGTATTTCTAAATAATTTTCTCACAAAACATACTTTACTTTTGAACGTGTATGCGTAGTGACGTGAGCGTAGATAATACAGTTTTTTTCAATGCACAAATTTTAGAAACGATTTTTATAAATGCTGAATGTGAAATGCAATTCTATTGCAGCGATTTCATCGTTTTTACTTTTTGAATGATACAACAGGCATACTCGTAGATTTCTCTCGAAATAACGGCAGCGTAACTCAAAATGTAATCCAATTTTCTCATGTAAACCAGTCGGTAACGTGTGAATATGCTTGTGTTTGGGATTTTAACGTAGACGATATGCTGTACGAAACAGATAACACTCGTCTCATTGCCAGCACCGCTTTGATGGAATACAATAATATCAGTAAGAATAAGCATTGCTTAACAAATATTACAACATTAATTATCACGGCGATTACTTGAATTTTGCCTTATAATTAATTCCTCTGTAAATTTTGTCAGCTCACTTGCCTCTACTTGGTGAGAAAGATCATTATACGGATATATTTGCTCGATTCGTACCTGCCAATCCATTTCAATTCTATACTCATTTTTGCGAAAAAATGATCAAAATAAATAATGAGGAGATTTGTCAACAAGCATTACAAACCAGTGATTGCGAATTATTGAGAGAATCGCGAGGAAGTATTGATAACCGATTTTATCCAATTATTAACGGGACATCGTTATATTTCATTATGCGCATTGAAACGGTTGAAAGCTTGAGTAGACTTCTCTTGCTAACATTATTTTGAAAAACTGTATTTAAGAGTACTACATTTATTTGCTAGACAATCAGTCTTAAAACAAGCGCTGTTACAGCATAATACTGAAGTTTCCTCGTGTACTCCTGTTGCTATGCTTAGAATTGACTTTCGCAGTTACTTCATAAAAGACGCTTCATTACCGCAAGTGAATGCTTCTGTAAAATCGCTACACTGGTCGATAAAATCAAGCAATTGCTTGCAATTACAATTTAATAAAATTTTGGCACAAGACAAGCATATCGTAATTCTACAAGCAATCATTCTGGGACGTCGACGAAATTGCATATTGGTCAATTTAGAAACAATGACAATGGAATTATTACAGTTTCTCGGAAACATCAAGTGAAAATAATTAATTATTAAATAATACTTCTTAATTCTTCTGTCTTTTGCTACAAAAGCAAGAAGAATGCTTCATACGGTAGAATATTCTTGGTTTCATAATTTCTTGATTCTTATTTGAAATACTACGAAAATGATTGATCTCATCAGAATCTTTCAGTCCAAATTCCAACATAATATGAAAGAAAAAGAATCATCAACATGACTTTTTTTTATTAAATCGGTGCCAGCAGAATGAACTTTTTACTTTCATTGAATCGCTTGATTTTAGACGTATGCATCCTTTAGGAATAATCTAAAAAATTAATACACTCACAGTATAGTAATTTCTAAAATTATTCCTAAATGAGTAAGTACAGTAATGATAAATAAATAACATGTATACAAAGAGAGACTGAACTTTAGTGAGAAACCTTGTCCCAAAATATCAAAATTGCTGTAAACCAAATCAACTCCTTCGTGCTTTGTTATTTATTAATAGTAATTTAGGCAAAAAGAGTGCTTAAATCAAATATATTTGGTAACTGAACGTTTCAGGCGTAACTGCGTAATGTTGCATAAACATCGCTTCATTTTACACTGGCATAACAAAAAGGACTTAACCAAATATCGGGTCATATGGAGCTATTCTCCTACGCAGGAACTTAAATATTTAGCATTCTGGAAGACAGTTGAAAAGCTTAAAACGTTACGAACAGAGCAGTGCTGGAAATATCATTCGACATTTGACAGCTCGTGCAATATTTGCTACACATTAGAACTAATCAGCCGATTATTATTGTGCTGCTCAGATATATAAAAAAGAGATATACTACAAATGACCAAGCAGATCATATCAAACTAAAATGCAATCATTGGTGCTGACAATATTCAAACCATAAATAGTACCTACAGATTACTAATTAAACGAATTGGAATAAATAATTTTAGCATTACTTCTGAATCAACCGAAACTTAATTTCATGAAAATTACAAATTCTTTCATTTTGATTCTATTATCAAATGCATTTCATTAAAGTTAGATCTTTGAACATCAAAAACCTCACTATATTTTTAGCATGCATGGCAATCCAAGATTTTAAAAACATTATTTGGAATTTAGAAAAAATTTCTCAGTTAGTAACAAACTTACTGATTTGTGTATTTCAGTGTTCTACATGATTGGAAGCTTCACAATCATCATTCCAACGGACTAGTTCTTGCAAACATGAAACTACACGCAATTAATTTTTGATTTGAGTAGTCTGAATCAAAACAGTTTATTCTAATTTGTGTTCATAATCAAATTAATACGTACGTTGTAATACGAATTTTTATGACAAACTTTAAAAGAGCATACAGAGTTCAAAAGTCGTCATGGCATAATAACATTCCCGTTCCACTCACTTACTTGTACTTATTTTTGTGAAGCTTCCAATCATGTAGGACACTGAAGTCCTTGGCAGTTAAGTTTAAGTTCACCTCCAATGCAGTCTCAGGCAAAAAATTCCTGAGAGTAATAAATTATAAATAAGAATTCTTGATGAAGTCTTTGATACTAATCTGAACATATGAAAACATCTCATTCCATGTACTCTACGCTATCCAAAACCATATCAGTTGAATTTTGACATTAATACTCTTAGCCTATAGGTGTAAATTGAAGTACGCCAAGCCGCAAGAATACGCAAAGACTTGAATCCCTTCCATTTTTCAAAATATTACTCGATTATAATGACGTACATTTCCATAAATTTGAGAAGCATTTCTGCAGATTATTTGTGTCAGTATGATTGCACTGAATGAAGGATTTCTACTTTGTTATATAGCCAGTTAGTTATTCAGCAATCTGCAGTGAGGGAATGAGGTACTGCTCAATCAATGAAGCTAACTTAATGTTCCTAAAATTTTCATGTCTCAACAACATACTAGTAGTAACGTTTATTTGTACGCTTCATCTCTAGAATATTTTAAATTGTGCAATTGCAAGATTTCCGTTAAAAATGAAAACACGATGAAACTATCATGTGGAATGAGCTAATTAAGCATTTAAACTGTGGTAATTATAAGCAGGAAGAACACCTGACCAAATTTGAGACATGTAAATACTGAGAACTCAAATAAATAAAGAGATTCATTGACTTGGATTTATAATATTAATTGACAATAATTAGTGTTAGAAGTGAGTAAAATTTAAGTCAATAATTGCCAGATAGAAAGTGAGTAGTATACTTTCAGAAAAACGACAAGAAGTTCTGACTTTCGAAGCTTCTCAATTTGTGCAAAAGTATATAAAATGTTTCTCTTTCATTAAACTCAGAGTCCTAAATCCGTCTTCCTACTCACTTATCATTTGATACACATATGTACCAAAAATTGAAATCCGTGTTCAATATTTATAACATAAAAAACGCTTCTCAAAATTATAAAAACGAATATTTTGAGAAGAAAATTTCTACTAGCATTATTTACATGATTCATATAACAAAATAGCAATTTAAAAAAGATTGAAACATAAGTAGATAAAAAGAAAAAATATGAAAGATCAACATAATCAATTCACTGCATATATATTTCATGATTAACAATGAAAAGAATGTACAGGATATAACTTATGTTGCTAATATGCATTTAAAGAATAAGAAAAAACTTATCTTCACCGAGTTTAGGCGCTAACATGTCAGACTTTTTTCAAACATTTAAATCATTGACATTTCAAAGTTTTAACTTTTGATTGATTTTTCCAGAGAGCACAATATTTTAATTAGCAATTTATGAAAGGAACAAAAATCAGTAAATTGAATTCCATGGAATATAATTTCCTGATTACCAACACTTTTTTTGAATATATTCCAATCATATATGAAGAGAACATAAATATCAAACCTGATCATTTCTATTATTATAAACAATCAATAAATGAAGCATTAGCTTTTGAAATTTTCAATTTCATTCCCAAAAAAGTAGATAAAAAATTTGGCGCCGTTTTCATTCACAAGTTTCATAGTTAAAATTACTATCATAATTTATTAATTCTGTAACAAAAAAAGTAAAGACGATACGCATATATTAACAAGACTGAAACAAGATTAACTCGACTAATGCGCACAATCATTTTCTTCATGAAGTGTTTTATTACTATTTGATATCGAACTGTTACCGCTGCACAACAGATCGAGAAATAACTTAGACTTTAAAAATCGTCTATAACTGTCTTTAGCCATTAATTGTTCAATCTTTGTTTGTGCTAATGAAAACATATTAGGCTTTGCACCATTTACCAAGGCTGCTTGAGTGGCTGCACGTGTATCGCTATCTAAATTAACCTGAAAAATTACACGCAAAGCAGTAAGTAAAATCAATATTTCAACTTGATACGTATATCTTTCACAAGCAAACCGACAAATGATAATCACTATTACAAGATGCATGTAAATCAGCTCAGATTAGCTTTTTCAGTATGTGAGTATAAATCGAAAAGTTTGCAGAATAGTTACTTCTTACGAAAGATAATGTTATAGATTTTGGGTATTTGTGCAACCGCAACAAAAAAATGCTTAAAAAATATGAGAGAATAGAACATACTTCTTTAGGTGATTGTTCTGCGATATATTTGTTATAAATAGAATGTGCCTTTTGCATAGTAGCTTTCTTGCCTTCTTTCATTTTGCGGAATTCTTCACACTCAATCCAAAAATCGACGTTTTCTTCACTGAATTCTCCTTTTAAGAATGTTCGAAATAACAAACAACCATCTAAAACATGATTACGTTCAATGACTGGCATTTCAAGAATAAAAAATACATAACAGTGCATCAAGTTTTCCATATTTGCTATCCAAAGTATTCCAAATCAATTCAATTTCAGATTGATCATAAAAAATCAAATCACAAAAAGCAGGAGTTTATTACTGATCACTGCAGTTCCAAATTTCAGATCCATAGTGATCATAAATTTACGATAATCACTATCAAGAAAGAAATATAAGCATTTGTTTTTTCTTAATAACTCTATAGTTCCGACATTTGGAATATTTTGGACAGATGACAAAAAATTTGGAAACTGAATGACAAAAAGTTTAAAAACAGGAAAGATGAATGACGAAGTTCGAAATAATACAGCAGTGGAAATATATTCAGTAGATGACAAAACGAAACTAAAACCCTGTGTGTATCGTACTTGAGGTAACTTTACTTTTATGTTATCTAATACTTTGATTTATTTAGCTGGATACAAATTATTGTACTAATCTTTACTTCGCAAAACATTGATACACTGTGTTATATCGATGATCAAAGGATATTTCTAAACAAACCAAAGTCTCAGCTACCAGATGCTATCAATATTTCATCTCAACCAACCTGTTGAATCACAATATTTTTACGATTTTTTACAAAGAAAAACTATAAACTTTGCGCATTCCAAAGAATACTGGTTCATAGAACAAAATATATCATAATTAATTCAAAAATTAAAGGTAACATACATTTGTGACTGAGTAAACATTCAAAGGAATCTCTCCATTGCATAACTTGATCTCTAGAAGGAAAAAGAGTTGATGTGCTGGAGGAATCTATTTTACTCTTGATGAAATCTAATGTTCTTGCAAATCTTCCGCTGAAAAATTAAAATCATGATTTGTACTTCATCATAAAAAAAACTTGGTCCTTGGAAATTTCAGAGAATAAAACTTTTGTAACATTTATTTTCGCTCATGCATTATGCTGTGCAAAACGAATATTCTGAATCAAAAAACAATTTGATATAGATTAAGAAAACACTAAGACTAGGAAGATTATAAATAGCTTACAATCTCCTCTTTGGTTCCACATTTTCATGTACTTGTTGTCTTCTATGCAATTTATCTAAACTTGCTTTTGGACTGAAAGTAAATGATGCTGTTCGTCTAATGGTACCAACTTTCTGCAAATTTTATGAAAAGGTTAACAAGTTTGAAATGCAAATGAAAAACTTTTTTTTTTAAATGCTCGACTAATCAAAAGACAATTATCGCACTACACTGACATTACTACAAAACAAATGTAAAAGATAATAACAGATGAATTAATATAACTTTATGGTAATAGATGCTAATGAAACGCTGTAAATAATATTTTACAATATTTCATCAACTTTAAATAATAAAATCGCGCCTTCTTCATAAATTCAAATATCAGACAAAAATTAAACAGACATCACCTCTGGATTATTTTGCACATTACTTGGACACAGATACTTTGCATTCACGGATGGAATAACAGATAAAATATCACTCGACCCTTCTGATGTGATATCGCCTGCAAGAACAACGATAGAGTAAAGCTGAACTTAACAAAGCTCAGAATTTATTCATTTATCAAAAATCAGTCGAAAACATTTCAAAAAAAGCTTGAACTGTATTTCAGAAGAACCATTTGTTCATGGCTATAAAACAGAATCTAACAGCTAAAATATGATTAGACATATATTGCTTTCCCTAAAATCAGATACATGATGACATTTGTAGGAAATTAATTTTAGCACAATAACGAAAGATCAGAAACTTTATTATGGCTTGAAAACTGCATGAAAACCAACTTGTAGTGATTGACGGTAAAGCAGTTAACTGTCGCTGATAATTACCGCTGATAGTAGTAACAGACATATTACTAGAACTTCCAGTCGTATAATCTAAATCATTATGACGAATATTGAGCGGTATTTTAGCTGTTGAACCTGATGCCATATGAACATGAACAGGATTCGGTAAATTAGACCGAGTTTCTACACTACTACTCCTTGAGCATTCATCACTACATGACTTCAAACCATATGTCCAATTTGTTCTAAACTGGTTTCCAGTTGGTAATGCTGATGATGCTAAATGACCATCACTCGATGAAAGTGACAAAGACGTCGTATCACTACGATGGCGATGATGATGATGTTGAAAATTGTTAACGTTCCAATTCGAATGACGCATAACCTAAATATGAAAAATTGATAAAATAAATTCAGAATATGAAATACTAATCAAAATTAAATAACAATCATGTAGCAAAAAAATTCATATCAATAGCACCAATTGAAAAACTTCATCTTCCTGACAAAAAATTATGAACAGCTGTTCAGCAATATTGACCAGTAAACATGAACATATTCAATGAGGGAATCAACACTTTAACGGCTGAAAAACTAGTAAAGTTTTTAGTGTTCCAATTTTGAAATTCTTTTTTGGTACTAACCAATATTATAATGAACCCACATTTATAATAAAACTATTATTATTATTATTATTATTGTTACTTGCAGTAGCTATTTTTTACTTTAGAATGAAATATAAAAACTGGGAAAAAATCCAAAACAAATGATGACATGAAGTGAAAAAGTCATATAGAATTCCTTAGAAAAAATTGTTCAAATGCATTCACTTTCTACGAGAAACTATGAGCGAAATTTGAGAAATGAGTTGTCCGACAAACTAATATATCAAATTCCAGCAATTTTTCAAAAATTGAAGAACAGCACTTCCATTTGTATTAAAAATAGCATTTTTATTTCTGCGATACATCAATTCCGATTTTTTGCAAAGCTTTCATGAAAACTAGATTTTTAGATAACTCATGAAATAATGAAGCGAAAATTGCCAAAGTATTATGCTATTACAATATGGAAAGTTAAAAACAAATAGATGATATAATTATTGTACATAAATACAAACACAAACTACGGAAAATCATACCAAATAGCATAAAATTAAAAATGAAAAGAAAAACTTCAATTACGAATCGTAGCGCAACTATGATAAATGCATAGCTCTTCAGTTGGCTAATTCCAAAATTTGTCACTAACTTATAGAAAATTAAAGTGAAGTGACTATTTTTGTCGAGTACTAATCATAGAACTTCTTGCGAAAAGAAATGTAAAAACACCATTTATGCTTGATATTAAACAGAAATCTAATTTATTCTTGTTGAATATTTTAAGGAAAGAGAAGGCTAAAGAGATGCAAGCAAATTGATATTATAAAACTTCCTCCGAAAAAATCTTAAATGACTCACAGAATGTAGCAGTGAGAATATATATTATCTTCAAAGCAAGGAATAGACAGAATATGCTCACAATATTTATACAAAATATTAACATTAAACATTAGCATAAGTGATCAGAAAAGTTATACTGTTTTAATTCTGAAAAAAACTTTCACCGTTTGATGATTTTGAGGAAGGTCAAGAATGCATACTCGATGGTACTAACAGGAAAGAGAAAATAATTTTCCTACTGAGAGTCTGATACCGTAGAAGTAATGAGATAAATGACAGGCAACTAACAAAAATTATTCTAAACTTCACCAAGGAGTAAAATCTTTGAAATTATTACGATTATGTCTTAGCCCTCAGGAATCAAGAGATTTGCAGTTATTAATCATTACAAGTCATACTGGTGTATAATTTGAAAAAAAAGACATTTCTTCTCATAATATACTTGCAGAAGACTGACTGGTTACATGAACTACACGCATCAAATAGTTAGAACAATTTTGCTTTGCGTTTCATCAAAAGTTGTGATTCTTTCGTATAGGCAGATTCGAAATGATGAAAAATAGCTACGACATTCATGAATAAAATTAAAAACAAAGTTATCTGTGGATTACTTGAACAAATTTAGCATTATTTCTGCTTATTGACAATATTTATTGAAGCTAATTGATGAATTATTCACTCTAATTGCAATAAATGACTTAATAATGATTTAATTGTTAGCAAATCAGTCAGGAATAATAGATATGGCTGAGAGTTAGTTATCCACAACGTCCAAAAATAGCATCAATGAAAAGACGTTTTAATTCCCTTTACTAAACACAACATGAAGATAAAGTCGAGAAACTGTAGACAAATGAAATAAGTTACTTTTGATACAAAGTTATCAATAAATGATCAGGGCTTATAATCTGCCAACCTTTACTACACAGAAGTCGTATCTAACTTTATTCATTCTGTCGTTAACTGCTCATCAAAGATATAAATTTTCAAAAAATCAAAAACCAATTATTCTTTCATTTTTCTTGCAACAAAACAGTTGCAGATTAAGTGATTATATTTTTGCAAGATTACTTACCAGTACAGAAGATAATCATCAGTTAATACAGAATAAACTGCAAGAGCTGATTCTTTCGAGTACTTTAAGTATAAATAAATAGATGAATAAAGTTAGGTACGATTTTGCGTATAGTAAAGGTTGCTAAATTATAAGCCCTGATCATTTATTGATAATTTTATTTGAAGTACGAAAAAGTGAACTACAAATTCTAGTCGCTACATTACAGATAATAATGACCTTGCTTTCATTTCAACGCGTGATCATCACCTATCTCAAATCACAACAATTGTAATGACTAAGAAGAGTATGTACGATGAGTTGTAGTTATTATATATGCTTATCTCTGTAATCATTACGATGAACGATGCTACCTCTACTTCCATTTCTGTGTAAGAATGCAAAAGGTTCTAGTGAGGTCAGGGATACTGTAAGAAGTAGAAAAAAAGTAAGAATTAGAAGGTAAAATGCGTAATGGCAGCACCTGGTAGACTTGACTAATTAATTGAGCATTGTCAAATGAGACAGTGCAGTTTGCATTTCCAGCATTCTTCTACACTTCTAGCCGGCAACAATCATTCAAGTACCCAAGCCAATAAATATCACTCACTTCCGCGAGAAAATATTAACAGTATTTCCCTCTTATCTCCCTTTCCTCTCCTCTCCTCTCCTCTCCTCTCCTTCCCTCCAACTCTCATTTCTTTTCTATCTTGCTTTTTTTCTCTACTCATTTGTACTACTCACTACTATGTACATGGTATTAGCAGCATAATATCTAAGTAACATTCACTTAATCTTCCCTACAACTATCCTTGTCTTAATTACAACACAGTTTTTGCTTTTATCTAATACAAACATGAAATGAGAGCATGAGTAGAAACAACAATAACAACGTAGTAAAGACGCAGTGCTTCATTCCTCTCAATGACATGATAATCTAAACATATCAACAATAACATTGCATTGCCTAGCATATCTTGTTTATATTGTATATATCAAACTGATGACACCTAAAACATACTTCTGCTGCTAATCCTACTCTTATTTACAGATAAACTATTGTATTCACTAGTATTAATTGAGACAGTGTCTAATTAACCTCTTATTTTTGGTATTAATGAATGCTATCACTACGATTGTCATTATTATTATTATTATTATTATGGTTAAGAATACTTAAACAAACTAAATGTTCACAAAAAAAATTCAGTGAACTCATTCAACTGATAAAAAAAGTTCCGAGAAAAAAGAGCAGTGCATCTACAAAAGGTTTCCAAGAAATACAACCAGATAATAAAACAAGATTAAGAAAGATAAAAAGAAGAGAGATGCATGCACAACAAATATTCCCTCAAGTGATTCACTAATCTTAACATTTATTAGGTTTGCAAAAAAAACATATATATATATATATATAAAATCGATAAATACGGGGTCTATCCAATGAACTTGTGCTAATCCATCTTATTGCAAATAAATGAAATATAATTTCACACTTGAAATTAATCAAAGTAATCAACTTTGTGCAGAATTTACATGAAAAACTGCAAATATCCAATAATTTTGATAATGCATTCAAATGTTTCAGCATTATACATCGCAATTATCACTAATATAGTATAGATAAAATCATTTGACAGGTTTGATAGGAATGAATTTTGAATTCTGTTACTTTGAATCCGACAAATGCAAACAGACATAATCTGAGTGACAGTAACTATTATGATTTCAACATTCTTAAAACAGAAATAAACTTACTTTACGTGGTGAATGCGATGTAACCGAGCTGCTGCTACTAAAACCTATATCGTCGTAATACTTCTTCACATTTATCTGCAATATGCCATGTATTTGCTAGATGTAAACACATTTATATACAATAATAAATAAATGCAAGTCATAATTACTACGAAAATTTTTTAGAAAAATAAATCTTCAATAAAGTCATATTTATTACTAAAAATATCATAAATTCTGTTATCATTTATTCTAGATCACAAAAATCATTTATAAATATTTGCATACGTATGTAAGGAAATCAAAATGAAAGAGGGAAAATCAGCTTGCTAGCTAAGATCGCAATTTCAAAGTCAAACAATGTCTTTATATTCTATACAAAAGGCAATAAAATTTTGCATGTAAAGTGAGTGAAAATGTTATGCATGTCGTTACCTCTCTAATATCTACGCAATAAAAACAGAAACTTTTCAAGCGTAGCAAATGGATGTATCTTTGATATGAATAAGAAAAGAACTGAGCAACAGTATCACTAGACCAACCTTATTTTCCGGGAAGTTTTGTCGTTCACCAAGTTCCGGTCGGAGTAAGAAAAAATCACCATCATTAATCTGAAACCATAAAAGTTAAAAAAATCAAATCATAATAATACACACAAATACACAACAGACACGAACTACAGTCTCTATGATAAAATAAATATCGCTTTAAGTGAATGAATAAGTTTTCATAAAGAACCAGACACACTTCAAGGACAAATAAAAGGTTTGATAACTATAAAATCAGGAAAAAAAATAGTACCACTGTTCGTTCAAATGTTCGCAAGTTCTCATCGAATCCACGTTCAGTCTAAAATTAAATGATTTTTTGACTTTAAACTGTTTAATCGCAGTAACATAAAAAGTATACTACAAATGACATGATTATAGATTGTGTGCAAACGAAGTGAGCACTCACGTACATTTCCACAGGAAAGAATATAGATAAAACGTGCATGTAATCCTAAGATACAACTTCAAAAAATGACGTGGAAATTTTTTTAAACTTTAATCTTTACTCTCACTTTGATATAAAATTCGCAGTTATTTCGTGCATCATTTCAAATAAACTAATCAAACTTCTCGTCATTCTACTTGTTGCCTATTTTTACGTACTGAAATGTATCTACAGCCCCTCCTCTTTTATTCTTGACGCGTATTGAATGTTAAATATGTGAGCTGATAGATTGCTCGCTGACTTATGCATCATTACAATCAAATGCTTACTTTTAATTTATGCGGCAAAAATTAAACACTATGATACAAAAATCTACTTACTAATTTCTCTCAACTTTACTGAAGGCGAAATTTCTGATACAAAAAAAGAAATGATTTGTAATGATATTCAAAAGTAAGTGCTAGCAACGCTACTATAACTGGATCATTGCATTCTGCTGTTTAGACTAGCTATCTGCAACTTGGAATGAAAGATAACAATGCTGAGAGCACGAAGTTTTCTATCATTAATAAAAGACAAAAAAAGAAACACAGAAGGGTTTTTGACTGACTAAGCAGAGTGTGATGAACATAAATAGCATAAGTTGCAAAATAGCTGATAGAAGCATAAGCAAGCTTTCAAGTAGTTTCAACTACTGAAAGCAGAAAGGTCAGTACAGTGAAACAAAATGTTTCATTGATGGAACAGTACTGTATTAATGTCCAATTTATTTTGTAAAAATAATCACCACCAAAGACAGTAGAATAACTGACCCTTAGCTACTATTCCAGAATTATTCGAAATGAAAAATTTTCGAGAAATTTTGAGTGATTTTTGTTAAGCGAAGCAGTAATATTTTGTAGCTCAAAGTAAAACTACTGAATGATTCAAAAAGAAAAAGAAAAAAATGCACACAATGGCAAATCGTTGCAACTCACCAACCATCAAAGCTATAAATGGGTGCACTCACCTATATAATATTGACTATACAAACTTTCAGACACATTAAATTTTAGTATTTGCTTAATGTGAGAATATATCCTCACATTTATCAACCACAAGTAAAGAATACAAGAATTTGAAAATTAGATTCAAAACAGATGAACGAAATCTCCAACTTCTCGAATCAGTAGCATAAGCGAGAAATCTAACTAGGTTCTCATCGCCACACAATTATTACTGACGCACTAATGTGCACCATTTTCAAGTATTAAGAAATCAAGGAAAAAGAGAGGCAAGTAATTTAATCCAATCCTCATATTAAGTCAAGCAAGTATCGAAATTCCACTGAGAACAAAATTATTTTTTAAGTTATTTAAAATAATTCATTGACTCAAGCAATAGATGCAGTTCGTAATGCAGCAGATATATTATCAGCAAATAACACTTTAGTTTTAGTAACGGCGTTAATATATTTTAGTTATTCCAAACAAACGTATTTACAAAATATAAAAATGTCCAAATAGGCTAAAATTTAAGAAAGAAGGAATAATTAATACTAATAAAGACTAATTTCTGCGTTTTTTTTTTGCTTCTCGTAAATATGTTTTTGACAGTATCTGTGATGTAGCTAAATAAGGATCAAAATGACAAACTCACCATTAAATTAGTTTTACGTATTAACCGTCGTATCGGGAACGCCATACAGCCAAGCATACGCTTTCGCCTTAAAAAAATTCAAAGCAATAGAAAGAAACCGAAAAAGTGAGTAAAAAATAGAAGAGATAACTGACGGAATGGGACATTCATGAAACTTTTTTTTACTAATTATTTTGTTTCTATTTCTACAATGCATGCAAAGTTTGGGGTCAAAATTTTCTGAATCTTAATGGAAAAAGGCTAACAAATAATCTGCAGAAACAATCGAAGAAATGATGTTTTTTCATCAAATGAGTGCATAAATAAAGAAACGATGTAAACAACGGACTAAAATCGAATAGATATGGAATGACTTATTTTGTTGTAGAGTTTTTTCAAAGAATCATCAATCCATGAAATTGCGATCAGATTATAAATATGAAAAAACAACAGCACTTAACGAAATCTTATCAATCTGTTCATCTGAATCAACAATTTACAAAACAAAAAAACTCACGCAGAATTATCTGCATTGGTGATCCATACACTAGCGCTTAACAAGTCGTGATGTCGATAATGATGACGTCGCAGTTCACTAAAGTTAATTAACATTAATTTTAACTGACTCAGATATCAGTTATTTAAAAATTCAAATTTTCTAGCTCATTATCAATTTTTGCTTCTTATTACTACTACTGTCAAAAAGTGTTTGTTTCCTATACACTTGATTTCATTGATTTATATATAACATTCGTGAGTACACCAATCATTTAAAAAAAATATATCAGTTATTCATCAGTTACTTTGGACCCCAAGATATCTTCAAAACTTAAAGGGAAATCACTGAATCCAGTCACATCTACATTAATAATTTTCAACTCAACCAAAAGTTAAATCATTACAAGGTAAAATTTTCATAAAACTGTGGACGATTATTCAAAGGGATGAGACGTGTACGGAAACTTTTCTCCCGACCTACATAACCGTACCGATCTTCAGAACTTGAACGTATTCGCTTGATATACATCGGATTATGCTTTATTTCAACCTTAATTAAAACAAAGATCAGTAAGACCGAAATCCAGATTTTTAGATTTTACGTAATCCTCAAAAATTAAAAAACAGAGAAATTTTTCACTTTTTAAAAAAGCAAAATCGTGCTTTGAATTTAAGTCCTAAATAAACAATAAATAAAACTATACAAAAATTAACAGAATCTAGTAGATAAATTAAGTAAATCATAAATAAAACAGAGTGATAAGAGAGATGGAAAGATCAATGAAAATATTTCAATAAGATGGAAAAAAAGCGAGAAAAAAGAAAACGCACAAAAGCACTGCAAATGTTTCAAACTAAAATTTGCTTTGTCAAGTACTCACCCGAATGTAGGAGGAAGCTTGCGTAAGAGCAGGGTCCAAAAAATATACAGCTCGTACAACGCTCACAGTCAAATAACAACCAGAAATAGACATTGTCAACTGTAATTTACCCTTGCAACCAATGCGGCGAGCAAAGGGCGCTGGTAATCCAAAATGATCTGGTTTCCAGTTAATGTTTGATAGGCCAACGTTAGAAATAATTTCTGACTGTGGTCGGCTTTTATCATTTCGAGGAGTTTGCTGCAAAAATCAAAACAATCTGAAGTTATTTATAAATCGGAAAATCAACAAATCAGAGCTAGATATTTAAACAATAACAAATTTACGTAATTTTTATTTATTTTCAATCTGCGTATTTAATAGATTAGACGCAAATTTTACAAATAAATAACAAGAAGTTTTTATAGAAGAAGAAATTTTCTTCCATAACCATTAAAATTAATTAAAGAATTTGTAGCTGAAAAACGATTATCTCAGTCATTTCGAATTTCTACGAGTCACAATTTTCAACTTCAAACTGCAAAACGATAAACCTCTTCAAAAAAACTCGCGGGTCTCTCCAGCGTATCATAAATCATGTTATTATAGTTGCTAAGAATAGAACTTGGATGTCGTCCACCTGAGGATATTGATGACAAAGTAGGAGTTGATGTTGCAATAGACTGCAAAAATGTCAAAATTTGGAACATTTATGTCTGAAATCATATTTTTTTGTTCCAACTGACAAATTCTATTACTTTTAAATGATGAGGATTTGTCTTTGGCAAGCCAATTGAGGTTGTTGTAGATGTAGCTAATGGATGCCAATTTTTTGACAACTGTAAAGAAGGTACTTTTGGAATATCGGTCGACGAATCATTGATTGGTGAGAGCTCCTGAAGTATCGACTATTAAGTCTTTTGAATCTTACCAACGCGGTGATGAAGTATCATGTCAGAGATGATACAGATCGGTATTGCAGAAATCTTTACTGGAGAAAACTATAATTTTATTTCCATTTTTTCATGACGCAAAACGAAAAATCTCACCTCAATCATGCTAAGACCCCGAAGTAACGATGGAGGAGGAGAACGGTGCCTTTTATTCCTAAATTCCCAATCATCATCTTCATCATTCGTCGTTTCCGTATCATAAGAGGATGAATGATCAACTCTCATTACTACAGGTGAAGATCCGTGACGTGTACGTGCACGAGCTCCAATTCCACAAGGCACTTGGCTTTTCCGCGACCTAAACCTGTTTTGTCATTTACAACATATAGAACATGAAATCATTAAAAAACCGAAAACAAATTGAAATGTTTATACGTATAATGAAATATTACGCACTGGGAAAAGAATTTCCAACATTTTCACAGCCCGTCTGCCATCAAAAATTTCCTAAATAACAATTTTGAAAATAAAACTTCGAGATTAAAATATTTACAAAGCCACACAAAAGAGACCTCCTCATAGTGGGTTCATTAATCCAACTGCAGTTAGCACCTCGAGCAACTGATATTGGTTGGCAAAAGTCACTATCGGAAGTTATATCAGAAGCGCTCTCCATTACTATATCTTAAACTTCAATCTATCATTACAGTAAAATTTTTTCAATTTATTTTGATTTTATGATTAGCGTTCATTCTATGGTAAATTCATTTCGCACTCGGAGATCTTTGTCAAAAATTCCTCGACCTTGAAAATGCATTAGGAATAAATTTCTAGGAACCTCACTGTTTGGAACAGAGTTTGAAACCAAAGATCAGATCAACTGTCAAAAGAATTTTTGGTGATGACATTCTCATATATCTTAAAAATATGTTTACTTATGATAAAATTTCAGAAAGTGCGCAACAAATGACTAAATATTACCGCACCTTTATGATAATCATATAATTCATCATCGCTGTCTGAACTTAGATTCATCAATTTTTCATTCCGCTTTTGACCTCGTCTAATACGCTTTCGTTCAGTGTAATGATTCCGTGAACGATTTGGGCACGAGTTGATAAAGACACCATATGTACCATTCATTTTGCCTCTGTAATAAATATGATTAATGACTACTTAAACATTTAATTAATGAAATATTGTAAATGAGTTCGAGTTTAACGGAAATTTCAAAGATATGAAGTCAGACGTATTTAATTTTGTCAAATTTAACAAATGGTTGGATGTTCTTTTTTAATAAACAGTTATAACTTTCGGAGAACAGAATGGAACTAGCAAAAAATATCATTTTGAAAGGTAATGAAGCATACATAAGCATAGAATTTAATGGTAATTGTGACCACAAGATAATTTTGAGTATACGTAAGAAATAAAGCTGATTATAATGAAAAATGTCATATTCTACGAAATTAGTGATAAACAGCGATATTCATATGATAACAAATCATATAAAGATGATAATGATTCCGTAGCTGTAAGTTGAACTCTAATACGACTAGTTGTTATCAAGCAAAAGCAAAAAGAGTAAGGAATGCTTTTATTACAGAACAGAACAAGTTCCGTTAACTTCATGTGTATTCTGAAGATTAGTCAAAAAATAGATCGACAGATGAAAAAAGCTGATTACAGATGTAAAAGATCAATTTACAAAGAGGAATCAATCAATGATGAATGGATATGAACCGACTTATGTTCTGTTCTGTGTAACAGTTATCTACACGATGAATCAATGTTTTCAGATGGAAACAGGTTTGATTACATTTTGAAACACGAAAATGGTAATTCACTTCACTCGACTAATTACCTTTCAGATATAATCACAATTCCGTAAACAATTTCTTCGTAAGTGAATGATAAATAATAAAGTTCAACACAAACGTACATTCAATTCAACTTTTACAACACTTTAGGCATAATCCATTACAATCATCTGTGCACATAATGTTATACATGAAATGTATAATTTTTTACGTCTAATTCTGGATTCCGCCTGCATCTTGAGAATAGTGCTCAATGCATAGTAAATAATCTTGTCATGTCAAGATATGCAAATTTTTTCACAACTATCACCACCAAATCAATTCCTATGAAAGAAATTAATATACTAATAATACTGAAAAAAAATCATTCATCTATCTTACTAATTCTCGCACTATGAAACAAATATATGTTAGTTTTTTAAGATACGTGTATACGTAAACGGCAAAGACAGAATACTGGGCGTAATACTTTTCATACATTTTAAGTTCACGTAGTAATAAATTTAAGCATAGAAGGGGAAACATATACTATTTTTATGAATTAAATACTTTTTAGTGGCCAAGAGGGAGAGAAAATTAGAAATGAGCATATACATTTACATATACAACATTCTGCATTTAATTATTAGACATTAGCAGTCCCACTGCATACATTAATTCCCTACACGTAAATGAGCCCTCATACAAAAAAGGGAGCTGAGTATAAATACGTGGATTGAGCATTTTTGATCGACGTGTATGATAATATTTCATTCTTATTTTTCTAGCTTACAAGAGTTTACCACAAGTGAAAGCTACATACGTAGTACAGACATAGATAATTGGAGTAAACGTAAAATTGAAAAGAAAAATACGTGATGAATATGTAGAGATAAAAACTGCAACGACCATATAGCAATTGGCGCCATTACATTTGATTTGCATCGATGAAATGAATTGCGAGCGATAGAAGACATCTGTCTGAGCTGCGTGGATATGAATGAACAAAGAAGGAGGGATAATACGAAAGAGCTGAGATAGACAACGGAGAAAAGAGAGAGTGCGAGGAGAAAGAGTGTGGTGTGGTGGTTTGATTCGATTTGAAAATGACCGCCAAATGGGAAAAGTTAAAGTGGAAAAAGACCTGACTATACGTGCGTTCTACGGCAATGTAGCTAGAGGTCATGAGAATTTGTCACTCTCTCAGTCAGTACATGAGTTTTTGCAAAAAAATCAAAGATGAATGGGAGAGAAATAAGAGGTCAATAAGAACGACCTATGACCCTATCTGTCTATCTCAATAATTGCTTAGCGTGCAATGTCAAGCATAATATGCACTGTTACCTTTGCAATGGATGCTACAGACAGAGTAAATGCCGAAATGAGTGATGAGCGAGGGCAATTCCTCGCCACACCAAAGATAGGCAATTAATTTGGCATCGATGAAAGAAAGGTAAGCAAGGAGACGTAGGGGGCAATTCACTTGTCGCATTTTCTACTAATCAAATTTGTCATTTGAGAAAAAAAATTGAATTTGAGGGCGCAATTGCAGCTGCAAAGAAATAGGCTGTGCAGTTGACAGTGTTAGCACGATGCTATCAAACACTTTCACCTCACGTTATTCTGTGACTCGTTTATATTTTTCACTTTTCATATAATACTCATATTTTCACACTTTTGCTGGTTGTTTCCACTCCCTTAATCCACGCTACTTTGTACGTAAACACTCAATGCTGGATGTGCGCTTAATATTCTTACGTGTAGTATTAATCTTGTGTCTAATAATCTCATGTCAAGAATAGCGCTATTCATTCATATGAGATTTTAATATGAGTACTATCATCTATTAAAAAATGTTCCCAAGCCTCATAATAGCTCCATCATCTTTGAGCAACGCTGTGCGCATAGCTTTACTTGCTCTTCATGAAATTGTCAGCAGCAACTGCTTTGAACAAAAACTATGCAAGCGTATCTGCAAGATTCTAGGACTTCACTCCCTGCCTTCTGTTTTCAACTCTTTCCACTAACGAACTCATCAATTTGAAAGCGAATTCACAGACAACCAACAACTTGTTTTGCAAACATTGTAATGAATACAATCAGAAACGTTGTCGAAGTGCCACGTTGCTCAAATGGTTTGCTTGTAAATGAAAAAGTTAAATGATCCATGCATTGGGTGTAGTTACTATATTTACTTGAATTGAATTCGGATCAATGCAGCAACTCTGACGTAAAATGGAAGCTATCTCAGAAATGCATTTATCCAAGCAGAGCAATTAAACAGTGCTAGATTGGAATTGCGACCGAAGCGGTAATTTCCAGTTGGACGTTACTAAATCTCGTTGACTATGAACAGAAAGTTAGAATGACCCATTGAAGTGTAATTGCTGGTGTCTCAATCTGAGGTTCACTCCTTTTTTATTGAAGTGTGGTTGCTAGAACTTATGAAAGTTCTTACGTTTCACGTTATGTTTATGCTTATGTAAATTATTTGAAGAGTATCATCGGTATGTGTTCTGGACTAGCTTATTCATCAAATGATGCTTACAAGCAAAAAGCAGAAAACTTTTTGTTTTACCACGACGATTATGTCATGTTTTGTTTGCAAGTATTGTGTGAAATTTAAAAATTAATGTAATTTTAATTTCAGTCTTGATTTTTTTTCCTTCTGTTGGCATTGTCGAATTATAGTCAACGGATGTACAATGAGAAATTTTCTGTTGCATATTTGCATTAATATTATTATTGCATTTTAAAGGCACTTTTACGTAATGTTGTAGAAAGTTCGTCAACAGCTATTGAAATAGTGCGCTGCAATGAATTTCACTTGGAAATGATAAAATGAGTTTGCAAATCTAATTTTAGCGATGCAGGTGGAAATGAACAATTCACATTTGTCAGAAGTATCGTTGAATAGTTCGAAACTTAGAGATGCTCATAGTTATGTGGGCTTCGCAAATTTTCCTAATCAAGTCTTCAGACGAGCAATCAAAAATGGATTTGAGTTCACACTAATGGTTGTCGGTATATTTTTGACTTTTTTTTAAGTTCTTGTATACTTTTTGGATATATGGTAGGGATTTAGATGAATGACTTGGTAGATTTATGTATTTTATCGTATATATGCACTCTTTTTACATAACTTTATCAAGTGTTTATAGTGTAAAAAATTTTATTGGTTATGTAACATAAAAATGTGAAACTGTAGCGCATTAATTGTGCTAAAGAACAGTGGAAGCAATTTATTGTCACGTTTAGTCAGAAACATTTACGTATAGTCAAAAACAATTCATAGTATTTCGTTTCTGTAAACATATCTCCAGTTATAGTTTTATTGATGCGAGACTTAAAGATTGCTAATTGTAGCGAAATTCAATAATTTAGTGGTTTTCATTACTGGTATTGTATTGAAAGTGCTAGAAACTTATGATTTATAATCAGTAGTTTATATTGCAGGATGTTCTGGTCTTGGTAAATCTACTTTTATCAATTCTCTCTTCTGTGCAGAAGTTAATGAGTTAGATGTTGAAAAACGGTGTACTTCACCTACAGTACAAATTGAAGAGCAAGCTGTTCGTTTGGTTGAGAATGGTGTCACTTTGAATCTTACCCTGGTCGATTGTCCAGGTTTTGGTGACGCTGTAGATAACAGCCAATGGTGGTTCTTACATTTTTTTTAAATGGTTGAGAAAAGTAGAAACTATAAGATGTTACTGAAAAAGGTTACTTGTATAATATTCACATATATATTGCTACCGCATGCGTTGGGGATGTCATGATCGAAAAAATATATTTTCATATAGACCGAAATTGATATAAGTTCTTTCTTATCTAAGGATATAACTCACTATATTTTTGTTACGTTACCTTCACAAAACTCTGGAAAACAAATTGGAAATGTTGAAATTGGTGATGTGCATTATTCCTGTGCAGGTCATAGCATCTGACATTTAGAAAATCATCTTAGTTTAATTTTTTGATGAATATGGCTATCATTAGCTCTGTGAAATTGACAAGAATTTTACTTTTAAATGCTGAGAATTTGTAGCTGGGAACCGATCGTTAATTACATCGAGAAGAAGTACTTGGATTTTTTTTCTGAGGAAACCAAAATCGAACGTGCTGCAACCATCCCTGACAAGCGTGTACATCTGTGTCTTTATTTCATCGCCCCAACAGGACATGGGTATAATTCAGCGATAACATTATTAGCAGTGATTTTCATCTTCTGACCAAAATTTTTGAAAGTGGGGAATGTATGCTTTTGGTAAATTAACTAAATATTGGTTGCAAAGCAGCAAAATATAATTTATAATTTCCCTCATTCATCTGTTACAGTTAATAAATTTTTTATCCGCTCTGAATCAACAACTTCAAATTATAAGTTTCGTTTTCGGAACTAGTTATTAAATCTTTATTTCTCTTATTTCTAAATTTGCTCTATTTAATGTATTATAAATAAATATTAAAAAAGACTGATTTAGCTTAAAACAGCTGGACATTGAAGTGATGAAGAAATTGCACGACCGCGTCAATGTGATTCCAGTTATTGCAAAGGCTGATACGCTTACTACAAATGAAGTAACTCGTTTCAAAAGCCAGGTATTTTGTTTTTGGAATTAATGGAAGACTGAGGCTAATATATAATCTACATATACGAGGATCTATGTTAACTTATTTTTGCTGCTTGGTCTCAGAGCATTGAGAAATAATATGCCTTAACTGAAATAATTAATTAAATCTAAGGTTATACCCTTCTCATTAAAAAAAAGAAATGTCGGGAATATTAGATGCGTCATGCAAGCGGATTAAAATATAAAATATAAAAATAAAAATAATTATTTTTTTAAAATTGAGGAATTAATAAATTTACATAAACTCAAAATTATTTCCAAATTGTAATTTTAATGATGCTTTCTATTCAGAATTCAAATAACTATTTAAAAATTGTGGTCATGCTACTTTTTTAATCCCGAAGATTTACTTTTTTTTAATTTTAAGATAATGAAAGATGTCGAGGCGAATGGCATCAAATTATACAAGTTCCCGGATGCAGAAGACGAAGATGAAAACAAGCAATTTGGACCGCTTCGTGAACGATTCCCGTTTGCTGTTGTTGGTAGTAATCAGGTAATTGTAGTTTCTCACTTATGAAAAAGATTTATTTGGCACTTCTCAGTTGTTCCTCTTTTTCGTGATTAATATTTCGTCATTATGCAGATTCGTGAAACCAATGGACGTCGTTCTAGGGTGAGGGACTATATTTGGGGTACGGTTGAAGTTGAAAATTTGCAGCACAACGATTTTATTGCTCTGCGTGACACAATTATCAGGTACTTTCATCAGAATAGAAATATGAGAGCTTGATATTATATACATATACATATATATGTTTGGGCAACAAGTTATTTTAGGATAAATTTAATTGATTTGATCGCGGTGACTCGTGGCGTTCATTATGAGAATTTTCGTTTTCGGCAGTTGAGCAAAGGACCAAAAAATGCAATAGATAGGTTAAGAATATTTGTTTTCAATTTTCTAGAATTTATATCATCTTTATATCATCATTTATTGTTAACTGTAAAGAATTGGTGAGGATTTTTACAACTCTACTATATTTGTTGATTGAAACTGGTTTCAGTTTTAATACGTTGCATTTTTGTTGACGCAAAAAGTACTGTTTTTTTGAATTTCAATTATTTAAATGATAATCTCTTATACCTGATTAAAATTTTTACGTACTCTGTTATAACGCTTAATTAAATATTGTTCTTATTGATACTAATGTTTTTCATGGGATATACTTAATCATTTAGTATTGTTGCTTTACATTTCAGGGATCCTTTCACCCAGTTGGAACATGAGAAACAAATTAAAGAAAAGGAGCTTGAAGAACGAAAACGTAGTATGGAAAAGGTAATTTTTGTCAGTTCTTTGTATGAATCTTGTGCTATCTAAGATATTAATATGTTCTTTCTCCTCAGGTTTTTGAAGAAAAAGTGATGGAACGGGAAGAAAAGTTGGCTTTGCGTCAAGCAGAGGTTTCTACTGATTTATTTCATCTTGTTCCTTTTATATCAATACTAAATTTTGAATTCATCTTTCGTATTTGTGTTTGTTATGAATATAATTAAACAGAAAGTGAACAGTAGGTTTTAATAAGCATTTGGCACTCGATATTTGTTTTTGCTGTTGAACAGAATAATTATCAATAAATTAGAAACTAATATGTATCAATAAATTAGAAACTAATATGTCTTTATTAATGAACATTTTGTTCTCGTGACTATAAAATTATTTTCATATAAATTATAAATCATAGCTTTTGTTTACTCATTATTGCTTTTTTACATTATAAAACATTTCAGCTTGATGATAAGGAGAAAGAAAATCACCGAGTTCTACTGGAGCGCCGTAGGGCTTTGGAGCAGCTTATGAGTGATGTGGTCGAATTGCGCCGAAGTACTGGAACTGTATCACGCCAGGATTCAAGGTTCTTGTTTTAGGTTAATTTAATAGTTCTCTTTTAGTATTTTATCCAGCCACAGCGTTTAACAATGTTTTATGCAATCATAACGTTTATCAGTGTTTTACTTAATCAAAAAGGTTAGTAGTATTTTATCCAATCACAACTTAATTGGTTTTGTTTTCCAGATGCTCGCCATCAGACAAGTCATCGCGGGTAAAAAAAGGACTTGGTGGGATTTTCAAAAATTAACTGGTTATAGTCTCCGATTTATCTGCAATAAACTTCAAAATTTCAATTAAGTGTTCTAATATATTTCTTCCGTCGATTAATCCTTTTATTCCAACTGTACTATCTATCTAAAAACATATTTCCCTGTGCAATTCATCATTCCTTTTTTAATGATAACTAGTAAATCACTTTTGCGCTTTGATCTCTCTGTTTTTGTAGCGTCTTTTTTCAGAATGCTTTACGGAAGTTAAGAGGCTACTAAGAATCATAAAAATTATTTGTGATGGGTTTTCCCTTCATTACAACTTTATTAGCAAAAGTTCAACTCTCACAATATCTCCCCTTTGAATTTCTAGTCAAGTTTTAAATTCTGATACAAAGTTTTAGTCATGTTTTAAATTATGTTACAAATTTTTAGTTATGTTTTAAATTCTGATGTAAATTTTTAGCTACGTTTTAAATTTTTATGCAAATAGTGTTACAAGGGCATGAAAAATGTGGACTCACAAAGTATTTCCATCATTACATTGCTGTTTAGTTAAGTGGACGAACGTCAAGTTGAATAGCTTCGCAATATTTTTGGTGTTACAAAGTTTTTTTTTCAAATTCGATGCAAACATCTTTTTTACTACCATCGCTGTAATTTGTTTGACTTTTGAAATAAACACAATGGTTTAAAGTACTTTTACTACCGTGTCAAACGTGTGTAGTTCATAGAGAAACAGCTTCTTATGGTTCGTTTTCCTATCACACTGATCTTAAATTCATGTTATGGAGTCTTCTACTGGCCCATAATTTAAGGCAGTTCATCTTATTGATTCAAAAGGCACATCACTGGGTAATGTTCTTGGTATCTGAATTGCAAATTAAATTTACTTCTGAAAAAAGAGTGCATGGGAGCAAGTTGGTTTGGCTTCTCCCTTTGTGTTCCGCCTCTTTTCCTAGTTTGCTTACAGAATATCATCTTTATATCCTGTGATTGGCATTCATGCAAATTGTTATGCACTATTTTACAATTTCATATAATTTTACTTCAAAGGAGTGCTGAATGTGGCTTCGATATCCTTTGAGATTGACTTCGAACGACGATTTAACAACTTAATAAATGCGTTTCTTTCAAAATTATTTGCATTTCACGTAAACTTCAAGAAGGTTTGTTGTTTACTAAATAAATGAAAGAATCTCTTCGTAATGCTTTTGTCCCGTACTATATTTCGAATTAGTCTTATATAGACAGAGAAACCAATGCTTGTTCACTCTTCACAAATTAGTCATTCTAACGGAATAAAGTCTGAATCAATAAGATATTCTTTGCTTGATGATGTTGAGACTAGTACGAATTTGTAAATAATGAAGTGTATAAAATACAGTTCAATTCAACATTTACAATGTTCATCTGGATGCGTTTATTACTTAATGTCCTGAAATTATGCAAGATTAGTCTTTTTTTTCTCTTGCTTGGTTCCTTTACTATGATAGATCTCATACTAATCCTATTCAAGAAGAGTAGTATGGACTATTCAGATTCTACTTAACCATACTTTTTTCTTCGCTGGAATCGTCCTAACTCTTAAATTCAGTAGAAGTTAGAGTTAGAATTTCTGGTTATGGTTATGCGGGATTTGGCAGTGAATATTTTGAAAGCAAATTAAGATATTTTAATGAAATCAATTAAGTTGAGTCTATGATTGCCATGTTTTACAGAAAACAGTAAAATTCATTACTACGATACATTCATTCAGAGCAGAAGATATTCATGACTGAGAAGTGCTAGCTAATATAATTATAATAAGCTAGACGGCAACTTCTGTCTTACTACAAGTTTCAGTCAGTTTCTTCATTAATTTCATTTCTCAACTACAAATGAAGCAATTTGAATGCTATCTAAGTGAATAAGCACTATTGTATTTGTAACTGCAACAGAAAGCGATCTGACTATATTGCCTCAATTATTTTTCATTCTTTCTTCAGTTGGTTTCCTTTTTCAAATATGTAAGATAAATTTTTTAATTAAATTTGGTAATATTTATATCAGATTCGTTTACACACTAACTTTTCTATCAAACTTTCGACTTTCCACAAAAATAAAAGATTTTGATTATATTTACATTGAAATAAAGGCCACGTGTATCACTTATAATTTGGATTAGCTAATAAAAAATTTTCGCAAAATAAATTCCATATGAGATTCAGAAGATTATAACTTCATCAAACCAAAGCTTGCCCTATAATTATATTTATTAAGTGAAGAAGTTTGTTTAAAAGATTGATCGTATCGTTTTATAAGAATATAATTAAAGATTTATTAGGCATGAACTTCAATGGTGCATGAAGAAAAGCAATGATCTACATTAAGTAATCGGCAAAAACAATATTTATCGATAATTAGTACCAAGTAAAAACTTTTTCTTTATTTTATTTTCAGTACTTCTATGTGTACTCATTTGATTCTCAATTCTGGTAAGGTTGATATCAAAATGATATATATATATCTTTTTATGAAGTACGTGAACTAGAAATCACGTTAGATAAAAAATTTAGCAGTTTAGAAGAATTTTGTCTTGAAAGTTTCAATTTCTGATTATTAGCAATTCTATTGATTGAAGTAGAAAATTAATAGTTCAGTAAAACAGATGGATTCATTTGCATCATTTAAGCGCTAATACAAAGTTAGTCCATTTTTATTTGGGAAAACAACAAATGTTTTCCACAGTAAAAAGTTTTATCTTAAAGGAAGCAATAAAAGCAATGTGTAAAAATTAATTTAGAAGATTGCTTTTAAAACTTTTAATTTGAAATTAATTTAGAAGATTAATTTAGAACTTGTAACTTCTTGTTCCAACTTATATGCTATCCAAAAGCAGAAAGAATCTTTGCAAAACATTTTAAAAGTGACATTAGCTTTTCAGTATTCTCAATTTGATTATATTTCATTGCATAGCCTCTGTAATAAAAAATAGTTTAATGGTTGCTCAACGTGAACATTTTCTGAAGAGAATTTAGGCTTGTGTTTACATGAAAACAAACACTTAATTAGGCTGTAAGTAATCGTATTTTCGATTAAGCATGATTAGAAATATATTAATGAAAATAAGCTGATACTTTTATTCATATATTCCTAATTATTATTGTCATTTGACTAATTTTGTTGTAATCAACTTAATAACTAGCTATAGCAGACTCAAAAAATTTTTGTTAATGATTACATTTTAAAAGTAATGATCATTATCTATTTGCAAACTGGATGATAAAAATGTAAGATTTATTTTTCATACTATCTTGATAATTTGCATATTAGTTCACTAGCCACTAATTAAGTAATTAAGTTTTAATACCAATTTTCATATACTTTTATGAATGTAGTACTTTGATTGAGTTTATTTGATTAGCTTTATACTTCTTTCCAAGAAGAATTAATATCTAAATTGCTCAAATGTTAAAGTACGTGGCGGAATAATGCTAATCTAATCGAAAACATCTGCTTAATCTTTTTTTTTTGCTTTTTTGGTGAGCATTCATTCAGTTTTAATGTTACTTTGCTTTAACCCAACTATTTATTTTTACTTTCAATCGAAGTCATTTTTTCAAAAAATTATGGGCTGAATTTTGACATTTGTCATGCAATACTTACATTACAAATCATATACTATTATGCCTTTTATTCGATCAATTTGTTTACTTATACTTTTATTTTATTAAAAAATATTTGCTTGCAAAATTGGTCTGCAAATATATTAATAGACTTGGACTGATTAATATGTTGACCGAAGTTTGACTTAAGTCTCCTACGCAAGTTTATTCGATTCATTGAACTTTTCTTTCTAATGCACACTTATTCTAAGTCATTTAAGGCTGTATCCAAAGCTTTGCACAAACTTTCCAAAGTTAGCCATTTTTATTTTATTTTATTTTATTTTATTTTATTTTCGATGCTTTAGATTTGATCTTTAACTTGTTATCTGCATAATACCATTCCATAAATGATAAAATATTCAACAAATTTAAGTATAACTTTTTAATAGTTCTTATCAGTACTTTTAATATAAAGCGATTATCTCAGTTAAAATATGACATAGATGTGCAAAAATGTGCAAAGATTTTAGTGCTCAAAATTATAAAAAGCTGTTCTAAAGTAGTTTTCTGCTTTAAATCTTTTTCTTTAATACATATTTTTACTTATTTATTTTTTCCGCTAAAATTAATACCAAAATTAACTATTGCCAATTTTGCTTTCTATTCATATTGTTTTCAATAGAAAACATTTTTAATTCTATCTATTTATGTTGTGTATTATATGAAATTTTTATGAATAATTTAAAATTTTGATAAATAATGTAAACTTTTTTATGCTAAACAAGTTCAAGAATGCTTAAAATGAGATGAAGCTAAATTGAATTAGAGAGTTATTTTTAGTCTTTGCTTTGATTTAAACTTCAAAAATTCATAAAGTTGAAAACAAAATTCATCAATATTTGCATGGAACTAATCTTATGCAGCAAAGCTTTCAATTGAGCATTGTTTAGTATAACTTTACTTCTACTACAACTTATAATCAATCATTCTTTTTTTAATTTGTTTTACTTCTTATATTATTTCTATTTTTATGCTTATTTTTTACACATTTTGCTCAAGAAATTTTACAATTTTTTTCATAAAATAGTTTTTCTCGCATAGAAAATTTGGGCAATTTTTAATTATAAATTATAAACTTTTGCAGTCTTTCAACAATCAAACATTTTTTTGTCAGTAAATTTTCAATTAAATTTATTTTTGCTATTTGCTTATTTAAATTTTAAAATATATTCGTGAAAGCACTTTTGAATGATAAATTCATCGCTTATCATTGTTATCACATGAGTTATATCATAAATAATTCATTTGCTATTTTTGATAAAAAACTTTTTTTTCAAAAAGAATAATTTTTGATTAATTGTTTCAAAAGCAAAAAATCTTTCAAAAAGTAATAATAATTTTATAAAATTTGCGATGTTTTTAATAAACTATAAATACTTTATTTTTTTCCTTTCTCGCATACTTTTTTAAACTTTTTATGCGTAATCAATTTTGTGGATAAGTTTAATTTTTTAGACATTTCTTTGATTGTTGTTAATATTGCGTTATTTGCATTCAACTTTTATATGTGAATGAAAAAAAAGGCGCAATCTTTTTTAGTATGTGTGCTAAGTAAGCACCTTTAGCACATTTTTTTTGCTTAATTAGAAGCATTTTCAGCCCAAAAAAATTTTTGCAAAAATTAAATGCTTTAATTTTTTTAAACTTTAAAATTAAATAAAAATTTTATATAAATTGTATTATTTTATTAAATAATAATTAATAAATATTGTAGTGTATTTTTAATTTGCAACTGAACTTAAATTTGTCTCAAATATTTTTAAATTAGTCTTTTTTTTACTTTTTTTAAAATATAAATTGAAGCAAAAATTTTTTTAGCAAAATTAAAAAAATTTCACTAAGAAATTTTGCATAATTGTGCAGAGTGCTTTATTTGAATAAAAGTATTTGCGAAAAAGAGCAATTTTTTTGCAGTGATTATTATTACTGACTTATTTGAAAAGGAAAGAAAAAAACGATTAAAAAGGAATACGCAAAGAATCATTTTTACGTCTTAACTGACGCATAAAAACATGGAAAATATTAGTTACGGTGGTCTGTCAGGCAAATATTGTCTTACTGAATCACAAACTACTTCAACTGATTTATCCACTTCTGTTACTCGAGATTCTACTTCCTGCAATGGCAAGTGCAATGAGGTGACGAGAAAATGCACAATGAAGTCGAGAAAGAACGAAAAGTCGGAACGAATTGCAGATGAATTGCAGAATCATCATAAGGTAGATTAATAATTATCAGTATTTATCTTTTGTAATTACAAAATTTTTTCGTGATTATTTACAGTTTTATTTTTTAAAAAAGATAAAAATTAAATGAAAACAACAAATTTTGAATGAAACTGCTTATTGCTTTAATGCTTTTTCAAAGAGTTAGCAACTGCTTGTAAAAACATTTTGTTTTTGTTAAAAAAGCTAGCTACAAAAATCAAATACTCAATTAATTGCTATATTTATTATCATCGTTCAAAGCTTGATTTGATAATTGGTTTATTGTTAATTTTAAGCGATAAAAATTTTTTATTTTTATGTTTTGCTGTTTATCAATTAGCCAAGCAAATGATAAGTAAGTTATTAGTTTTTGTGAGTTTTAAAAACGTAACAACAAAATAATGAAATGAAAAGTAAGAGAGTGATTTAGTTCATACAAATTCCAATATATTAATTAACTTTCCTTTCATTAATCAAGTTTGGTCTATCTTAAAATGAATGACCTGGACTAAATCTGCATATACTCATTAAAATTATTACTAACCCTATTTGTCTCATATTCTGATCATATGACTTTACATTCTGTAAGCTAGTATTAATCTTACTAATAATAATATTATATTGAATATATATTCAACTTTTATTATTAATGCGCAAATTTTCAAAGTTTTATGTAAATGGCAAAAGTAACAACTATCCACTTCTCGAAAAAGTTGTAAGTTACAGAAAGCAGTCTTTCTTAATTACAGGTCAAGAAAAATTGCTAAATTTGGTGCGATTGAATAAGTAATAATTTTGTTGCTAATCACACCTTCGTGTCATTATGTGCCTTGTAATATGCTAATGAAGCCAGTCTAATAACACATTCTTACTTCATTACCATTTATTATTATCATAATTTTCTTCAGTCTTTTTAGTCATTTTAATCTTTTCTTTTGCTTTTTATCATTTGCGTGAGTATACGTCTGATATGTGTGAGTTACTTAAATGAATGCACGTTGCATGATAATAATTGATAGTAAATCATTTGATAGAATCATCATTTCATTGAAAATAAATACAGTTTATTTACTTTTCCGCCTAATATTTTTGCTTTTATAAATTCGTGTCTTGTGTCGAATTTACATTCCAGATGAGATAATGCATAAAAATCTAATTATGCATTCAGTTTTATTCATTACTTTTACTTACTGAAAGAACTAAATAACGAAAATTGAAATTAAAAAATTGATTACTAAAAAAAGAAATTAATTACATAAAACGGCTGCTAAAATGCATATAAATTAAAAAGTGTTTGTAAGATTCAATGAAAGTTTACAATTTTTTTGCTTTTTCACATCTGGGAAAGTATCTGGATATGCATGAAGTACTCTCTCGAAAATGTAATCAGAAATTTACTGCATTGTTTCTCCAACAACTGCATGGGCTAACTTTTCAATCTTTGCATCAAATGTCGTCTTGGGATTCATTGTTAGAACGAAAATAACAAAAAATAAATGTAATTCTATAAAATAATTGTTTTTTGCTTGAAGTTACAATTAGTTTTTAGCCATTTCTCAAGAAAGTTTCCTTTTTTGGCTGTCAAATTTCATATGTATTACACTATTTTCTCTCTTTTTGAGAATAAAAATTATCCAAAAAGTAGCAAGCAATTTTTAACGGTGAAATTGATACAAGTTGGTGTAAGTTTGAATTGATGATATACAGTAATGCTTAATACTCATAATTCTACAAAAATACAATAACAGACTGAAGTATTAAAAAGTAGGGCAATGAAAAAATTTAAGTATAAACTAATTTTGCTAAAAATTAAGAGTACAAATTTCAAGAACAATACAACACTAATTAAGAGCAGTAATACATTAACACAAATGAAGACATCAGTCTTGTTTCTGTTCATGGATTCAGTGCATATGAATAAGCTATTTGAAATATTTTCCACCATCTTACTTTTTTTGCTTCAATAATTTTGTTCAGAGATAAATTTTGTGAAGCCAGTGCAACTGCCAATTTTAAAGAAAATAACGACTATAAGAGTTATATTACTTATTATCGAATCTCTTGTTTTTCAACGAAAGTAAAACTTGAAAATTCATTTATAGTTGTGACATGAAATTTTAATTAGTGGCTGAACAGCATGAACTCTTCGAATTTGATAAGGATTCACGCTTGCACTGCAAGTTACAAAGGAAATGTTTAAAAAATGAGTAATTTGAAAACTATTATTTTTATAATTTTTTAAATGAATTTTACTAGAAGAATATTACTTTAGAGATGTTTAA